GAGGAGTCACACGCTACGGCTTGACACCTGGGTGAGTTGACCTTTAGCAGCATTCCTTTCTGCTCCCTTTTTCCAATTACTCTTTTCCGTATTTTCTTTTTGTTTGGAAACATGAGTATAATGAATCAATCCGAGAGCGAACGCATCCTGCACGTCGTCGTAGGTGATGGTAGGCAGGGAACAGACTTTAGGAGAATTAGCGCCATTTTGATGGCAACATGCTATAGTTCTTAAGTGGCGCTCCCGCATAGGGACTTGTCCACTGGTAAGTCCCGCTGAAAGAGAGTTTCCCGGTTCTCGAGTATCTTTTTGCTTCAGTATGCTTACGTAGGGTGGCGGTTGGTAAGCTGTTGGTCAAGATGCGATTTTGCCGTGGGCGGCGAGAGGACCATTGGTGAAGAACGTGCTGATCTTGACGTTCAAAATTAAGCAACGCCGGTTTATCTAGCCATATGCTGAGGTTACCCATTTCTTATCTTATGGTAGATGTGGTGGGCAAAAAACTATAAACCTAGACATACAAATATATCTTGAACACCTAAATCCAAGAAAAAGGGTTCAAATCTCCCGTAGCCTTTGAAACAGTTTCTAACATGCTTGAAGTTTGCTCATTATTAAGAACTGGTTTTCTGGGACTCTGTTTGATATCGCTAGTAGGCTTATTGATTAATTAAAATAAGTTTATTAGAACTACATACAAGAGCTATATCAGCAGCCACTAGGAGACTAATGTGCCATAGCTCTTCTTCGCTTGAACATCTTTCTCGACTTTCTCAGGAACTTCGCCTTTTTGTGGAAACGACGTCTTTGACGATACATAGCACGGTAGCCGCCAGCTGAAATGAATGGAATTCAAAGACTGGAATTTTTTTCATGAGGCGCTTCACTTACGTGGTGGTGGAGGAGGAGCGACTGCATATCCACCTCCTGATGGTGGCGCTGGTGGAGCTGCAGGAGGAGCTGCTGGAGGAGCTGCTGGAGGAGCTGCTGGAGGAGCTGCT